GGGGGGGTTGACCTGCGCATCGTAGGATATTTAGCAAACATCTCTGGCTTCTACCCACTAAACGTCAAAAGCATCCTTCCCCCAGTCGTGACAAGCAAAGGTCACACGTCCCCCGGGGAAGCAAAATCATCCTCGGATCGTAACCACCGTAGAACCTGATCCCGCAAGGCTGGTCTATACAAACTGTAGCCGAAGGCACTGCTTTCCGCTTTCCTCCCCTCTTTGTTTTCTGAACACCACAACCCTTGAGAACCGTGTGTCGCAGAGCTGATGGCCGCTGGCTTGGGAAGTGGGGTGGGAGGGAGGGGAGGTCAGGCAGCAGGTGGGATAGAAGAAGCAAGAAGAGACCATGGAAAAGCTTTTAGAAATCAGAAAGGTTTATTTAGCAAAAGCCACTAGACTAGTGACAACATCCAGGGAGTAAGTGCACTTACATGAACAGAGAATCTTTTCCCAGAGAGTTGAACCAACAGAGTTAATGACACAACAGTTTTAGAAAGTAGAGGGCTCAGGGTTGGTGGGGTGAGAGGAGGCAGTCAGGCAGAGAGGAAATAAAAGGAACACGAGTCCTAAACAGGAGCCATTGGGAGAAGGGAGGCTACGAAGGGGCTTCACAGAGAGCACTGATACAAGCAGGGATATAAGGAATATCATTTTCATCGCAATATACAGTCCATCCTGTGCAGAGAAATTCTTTGCTGGCTCTGCAACTGTGATAGGCCGGAAGTCGGCTGGCACCCGGGGTAGGTTGAGGCAGGCACCAGTAAGGTAGGCGCCCCTGGCGTCCACTTGTCCTCCGTGGACAGAGGAAGGATAAAAAGAGGAGGGCAGGAGTTGAGTGAGCAGAGCAAGAAGCAAGGAGGGAGAAGGAGAGGGGGCCATCGCTGGGAAATCAGGTCTGCGATGTTCTCTTTCCTGCCCAGTGGCTGGTGAATCGCCAGGGTCCCTAGATCCGTCCTGTCATCTCCACACGCCCCGTGTGCTGCTGTGGCTCAAACTGGGGAAGGCGCCGGCACGCAAACCAGTCTCCGGCAAAGGCCCCGTCTGGGGGAAGGCTGGGGCCGAGGCAGGCGGAAACCACTACGGAGCATCCGAGGGCAAGGGTCCCAAACGGGTCCTGAGTCAGTGGTACAGAAAACTCGTCTCTCTGATTCTTTCGTCTCTCCTAAATTTCCGTTCTTCTTTCGCTTCGCAAGCTTTCCTAGACCCTTCAGAAACCATTCCCCACCCATTCCTCACCCCCTCTCCTGCCACGTTCCACAAAGCCAGTCCACTGGCCCCCTGGCTTCCCCCTCAGCTCCTGCTGACACGCAGGGGAAGGCAGGGGAAGCCTCAAGAAGCCAGACCTTTCACGCTCTGGAACACTCAAAATTCCCACGCTCTGAGAGGTCGCACCCAGCGGAGGATCTGGTGAGCCGGCCAGGCTCGGCCACACCAGACTCCGGCCGTCGCTCCTTCAGTTTGTGGCTCTTACCTTCCTGGTTCTTCCTTCCCTTGTGTCTCTGGACCTACCTTCCATCCAATGGTTAATTAGAAAATACGGTAAAACAAACACAACCACCCCTCTCCAACTAAATACACGTTAGGAAAAGAACACAATTCTGCTTCGTTCAAAGACCCTGAAGATTCCCCGTCTCTTCTCTCTGGCCACTTCTTACAAGCCCACACACCACGTACACATGTTCCCTCACATGCCACCTGTGCATATACGTACACACACGCGCAAACACACGCACACACACGCACGCGTGTGCACACACACACGCACGCGTTATCCGCACACACCCCATCCTATTTCTGCTGATACCCTGGTGCACCAAGGGAGGCTAACATAAAGCTGCATTTATTTCATTTGGACTTTCTAGCTAAGAGGGAATCCAGCTGCTTAAGAGAAGGGCTACACTTTCATTTATCAAAACTGTAAAGCTGAGTCAGGGCCAAAGCGCCCTGTGTTTTGGATCACCACGTCCTTACCAGCTAACCCTCAAAGAACACTGCAGGCTGGGTCTGTCGCTCGTTGTCCCGGATGAAGGCTGATTTCCCCAAACACGTGACACTAGCATGGCTCGGCTCTCGCTCTTTAGGCATCGTTAAATCTGTTCACAGGCGCTAGAGTCTAACGGTCACAGAAGGAACTTGTCCTTCGTGCCCCCATCAGCATGCAGTACCGGGTGGTGATCTCTAGACAAGGCCGAGATGGTCCAAGACGAGACAACTGCACGTGGCACTTTTTACAGGTGTGCTCGAGGCACGCACCCACAGGGACGGGTCAAGGGTGACGTGGCTGTGGTCCCTGACCTAAGTGGCAGTGATTCTGAAGAGAGGAAATAAACAGTCTCAGCTACCGGCCTGTATTTGTTTGCAGTAAAAAGGGACCACAACTGCCCAGCGGAGGGGACAGGTTGAGAGGTAAGGCTTGGGGGGGGGG